CCCTAAGGGAATGTAGCCACTCTTCTCGCAAGTCTTCACGAGACTTTCTTTGGCCACCTTCCATGTGATCCACGCGTCTAAAGCCTCACTTGGCGAGCGACATGGCACACCTCGCGCATTGACCGCCAAAGGGAGTGTCGCCTGTTTCTGTTTGCGCAGATTTGTGGGTCCTGTGAAATCGCGCATCCGGCAGAGAATGCTGTGCGCCGCTGTTGCTCGTTGATCGGGTCCAGGCGTTGGACCATGAGTCTCATCTTGGCTGATTTCAGACTTGTTCTGACACATTGCCTTCGAGAAGTGAAGCTAGCGTAGGGCCTGAGGAGACCAGCTCGAAGAGTGCTGCCATAATTGAAAACTTCCCAGCAGGAGGTAAACTGCTTCTTCCCGCTCCATGCTCCAAAGATCAGAGCAAGGCTCTCTCTGCTGATGCGGGATCTCAGATGTTTGAGCTGCTTCTTGTACTTGAGCATGCTACTTCTGGCTTCCAAAACTTCATTGTCAATGCAGGACTTCTTGGGTGCTCTCGGCCTCACGGCTTCCTAGCACATTTTTGCCGTAGGAATTGTTGGATTTGGTCACTGAGATGCACTTCTTGCGTCTCCAAATCAGTAGCCCAGAGCATGATTTGAAGCTCTTTCATCTGGTTTCGGACAAAGTGCTGAACTTCGCCGGAGGACCATTCAACAGTTGGGATCGCATGACCCTGCAGGCGGAAATGAGAAATACACTTCCCAGCGTAGTTCAAGGCCGACTGCTTGATGGTCTTCTCGTTGCGTGGCGAGGTCAAAGTCCGCCATGACTTGGATATATATATATATATATTATCAAACATTAGCCTGTTTAAGTGCCTGTTTCTGTCAATTTATACGTATAGAGTCTCTTTCTCCAAAACACAGCCCCATACATAGCCCCATACATAGCCCCATACACAGCCCCATGCATAGCCCGGATTGATGTAACTGATGTTGATATTCAATTTCACAGTAAAATTTACACCCTGACCCTACCTTCAAGGATTATCCATGCCCCATTTTCTTTAAGTCTTTAAATGTGCATGTGCGTGTGCACAATCGTTAGCCTGTTTAAATGGCTGTTTCTGTCAAAGTTTCCGTATAGAGATTCTTTCTCCAAAACACAGCCCCATACATAGCACCATACATAGCCCTGATTCAAGCCCAGATTGATGTCAAAACTGTTGTTGATATTCAATTTCCCAATAAAATTTTTACCCTACCTTCGTGGAAACTTCCCGAACTGCCGAAATGTCCAAGAGCAGCAATGCCCTTTTTGAAAAGCCAGCTGCGCACAGTTGGAATTAAGAGCGCTGCAGGATTAGTCCAATAGGAAGCTTTAAACCAAGTTTGAAGTTTAGGCACTTGTTGAGTTTGGACATGATATGTTGCGATATGATTCATATGATGTGATGGTATGACTTGACCTATAATTATGACTTATGACATGATGCAAATTGACATTGCATGACTCCATGTGGAATGTTATGGTATGTTATTTCGGTACGATTTGTGTCTCTGTGTCTATGTCTATATACCGTGGAATTACCATAGCGTGGAAACGTGGAAGAAAGGGCTCCGTGATTTGATGTTGTCATGATGAAAATATTTGATGCGATACATGGTGATAAGATGTGGTATGATGAAATGATACTAAAGTAGTTAAATGATATGTGTTGAAAATGAAGCGAAATGATTCAACATGCAATGATGTTTTAAATCATATGATGAATGATTAAGATATCAGATATCCGTAAAAGAAAACAAGTTGAAAAATATTGTTCAAATAAATACAGAAAACACTACTTTGGGATGCACAAAGAACGGTTCAGAACGGTTCTCTGATGAAAACTTCACCCCTCAAAGAACGGTTCAGAACGGTTCCGTTTCCGTAACGGTTCAGAACGGTTCTGAACTATTTGCGTTTTTTGGTACTTTCTACAAAGAACGGTTCAGAACGGTTTCCTGGCAGATGTCTTGGGGCTGTGTTTTGGCACATGTTTTTTCCATATCAAAATTTTAAGTTGAAAACGTGGTCTTAAAGCTGTGAAGTTATTAATGAAAGGGAAGGGCAGTTTCTATATTAAAAAATGTCGCAGCAAAGAAAAACGTCTCACACTGTGTAAGTCGTAAAAGAGAAGTCGAATATTAATAAAAGTAAACATAACAATCACAATTTAATTTCTGCGCTGCACAAAGCCTTGGAAAGGCTCAATCCCCAGCTCCGATTTCACAGCCGTTTTTTTGTGTTGTAGAGTCCTTCCTCTTCAGGTCCTTCCCAGGTGGATTGAAGCCGCGAAAATCATTTAAGACAACAATAAACACACAAAAAACTCCCAAAAGCTGGTCCAAACGTGCCCAAACACCATGCGTAAACACCCCCACAATAGTTCAGAACCGTTCTGAACCGTTCTGAACCGTTCCTGGGGGGAAGTTTTGGTGGCAAAGTGGAACAAAGTGCAGCCCGAAGTGCAGCCCAAAGTGGGAACCAACCCCATGTCACAGAATCAAAAAGGAGAATCCTGACTATCCTTACTGGGTCAAATTTCCATATCAGCTCTGAGAAGTTCTCAGCATGTAAGGTGCGCCCAAGCGCCTTGGCCGCCACTGTTGGCGCCTGCAAATCGTCCAAATCCAAACGATCAGTGCAATAGCCCCAGCCTAAGCTACATCCCGCACAACCAGCCAATGGAAGAGGTCACTCGAAGCAAAGGCAATTTCCTGCCAACGCTGGAGAATGATTGAAAAGGAGCAAATGTTGAGATAATCACAGACTCAAAATCAGAATCGTTATAGCACACAAACAGGCGTCAGCACGTAATCAATGTCAGTTGTCATCACAGTATCCAGCCAAGAAAAGTCACTGAAAAATGAGCATATTCTTGCCAATGCGCAGAAGTATGTTTTACCGCCGTGCTACCCCTAGCTCAATCTTGGCCTGCTCTTTGCAGCTATGGATCAATCCGGAAGGTGACCAGATTCCCGGCAATGCACCGTGATGAATTGGACCATATTCGAAGTTGTCCTTGTCATAGATCTCCTGCTGCACACCAACTATATAGCAACGGCAGATTCCAAGTGCCAAGCATTGGGGGGGCGCCGTGCCCATGAAAAGGAAAGAGGTTTCAAGTTGCCTAAAAAAACATGTCGGAATTTCATTCAGCCAGTCTAGACATCAAACCATCCAACACTACCTTGACACCACGTCCTCCACACTAGACAAGTCTCTGAAAACTGCTACGCGTCTTCGCGTGCAACTTCAGATGGTGCAAACGTTGATGTAGCAGCAGCTTCCTTACATCAAAGGAGCTGACGGGAAGTGGGAAGAGTGCCCCAAGCACTGCACAGCACTCTCACAAACTCCCTGCCCAACGCAATTGCAATGTATGGTATGACCATTGCAATGAAATTCAAAAAAATGCCACCCGGTGTCAAAATAGCAAAAAAATGATTTGCTACTAGATGTCTGGGGCTGGTTCATCATCACTACTGCCGCTGGAATTCTGCTGCTGCCGAAAACTTCGCCGTGCAAGCGCTTCATGGCAATAGCCCCCGGTCAAACATCAAAATCAGGTTGTCAAAAATGCTTCGTGAACTCAATAAGTATGTCACTATGCGGTAACAAAATCCAAGTCTCAAGCAAAAAACACCTATTCCATGAAATCATTGAAATCACCATGCGCAAGCCAAAACCCTATGGGCTGATGGCCTTCGATGACTATGCTCAAAGTGTGGCACTGGCGCTCCAATATGTTGTCCAAACAGACTTGGGTCACCTGACTCAAGAGATTTGTTTCATACCAAGATTGATTGTTTTCAGACCCAACATGGGTCTTTAACATACATTGGGGCTCCATTTGGGGCTGCTCATGGGCTGCCCCCTGGGCTCCACATTTTGCATACGGACATGGCAACAGACAAACAGGCTAATGTTTGATATAAAATATATATACATATATATTTGTATTTATATATTTATTTTTATTTATTGATTTATTTAATTAATTATTTGTTCATTTATTTATTTATTTATATTTTTACATATTATATTATATTATACTATATATTATTATATTATATTAATATTTATATTTATATTATATTATATTATTTGCTATGATATGATATTATATTATATTATATATTACATCATATTATATTATATTATACTATATTATATTTTATGATATTATATTATATGATATTATATTATATTTTATTATATTATATTATATTATATTATATTTTGTTATGTTATATTTTATGATATTATATTGTATTATGTTACATAAATAATAATATTATATTATACGTATAATATTATATTATATATATAATATATAATATATAATATAATATATATATATATCGGGAGGTGGTGCTAAAAGCATCCAACACCTTGAGGTTCGCTAAGGCATTGTGGTGATTTTTTTTAAAGTTACTGATCTCGCAGGTTGTATTGACTTTTTGTGAACTTATTCTCTGGAGTTTCAGTCAATCGTTGTGCCAGCCTTAGACTCCTCATTTCTATTAGACAAGATGTTACGGTCAGAACGGCATAGCTCAATGCTGCGCCATTTTTGGCCGAATGTGAGACACCTAACAGCTGTGGGCAACGTAGAAAAAATATGTGTGTGTATATATTCATATGTTTTATATATATATATATATTTAATATGGTATAGTTCATGGTTTTTATACATATACATATATATATATATATACATGTGTGTATGTTTTTACCCATAATTAATATATATATATACACATATATATATATGTTTACTGTTTTTATATGTTTACTGTTTATATGCATATGATATGTGCAAAAATATGTAGGTGGGTGCGTTTATATATGTGTTTATATTTCTTTATATATATATACTCTACGAATGATATATAATATATGATATTTACTGTATAAGTTCAACCAGAATGCACGAGACTGTTTTTTTTGGGATTTTCAAGTTCTGTTGCCACGCGCACTAGGCTGCGTCTGCAATTAGCCAGCCAGCCCGAGCGACTGCAGAGGCAAAGATGTGAAATCGTGTAATCAAATGTTGCAAGACTTGTAATCCGTTGCACTGCAGAATATTGCAAAATGTCAGTGCAAATGCAAGGTTTCTTGTGGACTCAGCATATCCGCAACTACGGTACAGACTGCACGGTTGAAGATTCACTGTGGAGACCTGGCGTGGAAAATGTGGAAGGTGCTGATAGACAATCTGAATCTCGATCAGCTGGACTATTTGTCCAGAAGGTCGTCAGGCCACACTAGAGCTTTGAGTGAAGTGTCCTTTGACGTTCAGTAATGGTTCTGTGATGCTGAGGAATATATATGTATATATAAATCACAGGCATAATACCGGCACCTTGTCGCATGGCAGGCCACTGCATGGTCATCAGGGAGGGACAAGGAGATTTTTTGGGCCAGATCGGCGCCATGAAGGCAAGGCTCCAAGCCTGGCTCCCCTGGTTATCCCTGGTTCCCCTGGTTCCTGGTTCATCGATTTCATCGATTTCATGGTTGGCTCCCAGAGTCAAGGATCCCGGTGCCGTCGAAGTGGAAGAGAAAGGAGGAGAGAGCGAGGTGCCACAACTCAGCATATCTCAGCATGACTATCCCGTGGTATCACTCAGCCCGGCTCAGTACAAGGGTAGATTGCTATTGAATGCTATTGATATGGTGCTGATATGTACAGGGAAAGTTTGCAACTTATAGTGTTGACCAAATTTGACAACGAGTTCAGACAGATAGATATGAAGTGACAAGGAAGTGACATTGAAGTCTTGAAGTGGCAATGAAGTGATCTGAAGAGTTGCGTCGATTGCCATTGTCTGGCGTAACTTGCCACAAGCTGGATCTGAGAGCCAGAGTTTGACTGATTTCTCCCATTTTTTCCCTTGCTTGTCTAACTGCGACAGGAAAGTTCAGAAGAAGTTCTCGAAGAAAGTGCACCAGAAACAAGACCGGAGGAGTCTCAGGTCATCTTATTATATCTATTCGCATTCGCGCTGAGAATACCCAAGATAGCAATGATGCAAAGTCTTGCAAAACCCGGAGAAGGAGTGACAGTTGTGACAGGCATCAGGAAAGATCCGAGAAACTCCGAATCAGACACTGATGCCCGATTCTGGTTCCCGATTCATTTGTGTTGGTTCCCGATTCCTGGTTCCCGATTCGGGTGCCCGGAAAGCTCCTAATTAGTGTAGAGTCCACTTGAGGACTGTTCGAGTCGTTTGGAATGTCAAAGTGCCTAACCTATTTCCCGATGGATCCCGATGGATCCCGATGGATCCTGATGGATCGAAGGCCCTGGATGAGATACAAGAAGCGGAAATCACCCAACCAGCTGTGAAGGAGCTGCGCAGGGGCGAAGGGAAGAGACTGAACTAGATAACATTAGATAACTAGATCCCCTGATCCCTGGATTCATGGGTGTTTCTGACACCATCTGACACCACTTCCCACATATGTCACATATTGTCACATTGAGTTGCCAAATCGGTGTTGGCAGTTTTGCCCATTTTTGCCCTAGGACCTCCTCATCCGAGGGAAGGATTGGTTAACATTGGCGGCAGAGTGTGACGCGTTGCTTGAATCGTGCAAGAGGCGTAGAATCCGTAGAAGAAGACCTTGGCTGTTTGGTGGTCATGTCAGACTCTAGATTAAATACTGTCTGAGATGCCGATTGCGGGTTGAGAAACCAGGTGTAGCATTGATACAGTAGGGAGAAGAACTGCAGTGCTCTGAGACTGTCTTGACACAGCAGTTTATCCGCATAGGCCGCATAGGCTGCATTTTATGATCCTGATTTCAAAATGGGAACCTTAAATTCCAAGTGCTGTGTGTGCTAGCATTTGCTGTCCTATTTTGAATGAGAATGAGACAACATAAAAAAGAATCAAGCATTTACATGCATTCAGCATTGCATCGTAAAAATGCTTAAGTGATCATTGGAGGCCTGAAGCTGATGATGATTCAGGAGGCCTGCACCGTCTTGCACCAGTGCAATGGTTTGGAATCAGTCCTGTTGGTTTTTGTGTAGGGCATGGAAACGCAGTTTCGCTTTCTGGATAGCCACATTTAGCCATGAGGTGCGGTACTAGCTGGAAAGAAGGATTAACTGATTAACTATCTCAATTGGATTTCGCAGACAGGAAAACGTCAATGGATTTTGAAGAGGTCACAGGCCCCCTTGAAATGCAAAGCCAGGGATCCTTTTTGTAGCTTCCCTGAACAGGAGAGGTCCCTCATGAATTGCAGGCTCCGGTCCGTTGCTGTTTTACTTTTTATCAGGATATATCAGGATGCTCGATGGAGTACTGGAGATTACAACATGATATACATGATGAATCAATATAAATCATTGCCAGCCTTCTGTGAGAGTGTGTGTGTGTCAGACACTCTTTTGATAGTCGATCCGTATATTATATATATATATATTGTTATATAATATATAAGTCTAAAAGCCTTGTATTTCTGTTGCCCTACGGTCTCTACGGTCTCTAAGCTTCTTTGCCCTTCAATGTCACTTCAATGTTGTCTTGTGCCATTCTGTGCCTTTTGCAAGTGGTTACAAGATGTTACAAGTACTTCGCACCCCAGGCCGAACACATCGAAGCTGCCATGGCCACTTTGCCAGGCCTTTCTGAGGCCCGGCATTTTTGTTCGCACATCCAACATTCATTGACTCAGTGATATGATGGTTCAAACTGGTGCGCCATTGAGATTTGAACCTGAATTCATAAGTTCCTATTTGATTCTGTTTGTCACTCAATAAACTTAGAAGGCGTGGCCATGCAGAAGTGCTGATGAAAATGATTGAAAATGGTTTATCCGAAACTTGTTTTTAAGGTTTCCCTCATAGGCCTTATACAATCACATGCAATAATGGATAAATACGATACTTTCATGCCATGGCCCTTGGGGTTTCGTTGGGTTGAGTGGCCTCTTGAGACCCCGATGTGCCTTTCTGAAAACTTTGCGGCCACGTAGTGATGTCCTTTCGGGGAAATCGTGTTGATTGGGGGCCGCCAACTGTGTGGGCGTTGTTAACCCAAAACATCCTTGCAGTGAGGATCTTATTGTGTACACTGTACATGTACTCATGTACTGTTGTTTGTACCAACCACTAGCGCCTTCCTAGTCAAAAGTAAACACCTCACACGTCCTCTCGCAAGAATCAGAGTTCGAGTTTGCTATCATACTTTCATTCGCTGAAAGCGAGTGGAATTTAATGGAATTTATAATTTATACATGTATTCCGGCAAAAGGTCAGCTGCATGCGAAGAAAAACATTGCATCTTGGTACTGGATCTGGCAGCAGAACTAATCCCTTCCCCCTAATATTAAACATATTAAACATCCCCTCAGAAACCATGGTTTAGTTTAGTACGGAAATTCCACATAATTGGGACCATTTATGGGGTGTTTAATATTAGGGTGATGGGATTAGTCCTCTCAGCCCCAGTAGCAGTGCTGGAACTGGTAACTAGTATATCTAGTATTGGTATTGCTGCTGCTCCGTATTGCTGCGCCTCCTTATCGTACTGCTAGTGCTAGTGCTACTGCAACTACAAGCATCACAGTAGCGATTCTACTGAGATCATTTCGACAACCATAAGAACGAGCAAAACGTTTGGTACAACGACACGTACAAGTAACATTTTTACGATGTCTATGGCTACTTACTGCCACTACTGCTCGTAGTCTCTACCGGAGGTTCCAGTACAGCTGCCGCTTCCACGTCTGCCTTTTGCATGGTCTTGGGCCCCATGTCAAACAATGGGCTGGCATCTTTTCTCGCACACTCTTGTCAACGTTGATTTCAGGTATTTGCACATTGTACAATCGTGAACTGCTTTGTTACCCTTTGTTCCCCTTTGGTCCACTTTGCTTCCGCAAACCTGCAGCAGAAAAGATTTTGAGGAGCCGGAGATGGACTTGGACCTGTGACATCTTGTGAGTCCTGAGATCGTTGAGATATGATAGATCTGGGTTTCAAAACTTTGTGCGCAGAGTTGCAGAAAAGAAGGGGTGAAACAGAAACCCCATTGTTCTAGCGAAGCAAACGCCAAGCTGGAATTGTACATATTGCCTTTGTAGTAGCAGATCTTCAGGGCCAGCTTTACCTCACCAGTGCCATCTAGTGCCTATGTGACTGTATGATACTATATATAATAGATACAAATAGACATTAATAGACTATATATATATTCTTCTATATTCATGCATGAAGCTTTTGTGACATGTTTCAACCTATGGAGCTGGCTCTCTTTGCTAATGTTCTGCGCGGCTAGCTGTGCGGTTAGCTGTGCTTCATGTTTTCACGACCTTCGGAACCGAATGAATCGAACCATGCCGGAACTGTGCAAGGAAAATGAGAGTCCCGGGAGTTCCGTGCCTTGGCACAACTGGCAGAACTGGCACACCAATTCAACAAGCAAAGCAGAGCAAAGGAGAGAATGGCTGGCTTTGTTGGATTCGGCCATAATTGCATAAATTGCATAAGAAAACATACAAATAAATTTGGTGTTTCAAATATGTCCACTGGCGTAAGTGCTTGTTGCTTTCCGCATAGGCCGACACTGGCACAAAGATGGTACATCTTGGCAAAAACACCAGGCCTGATGAATGTGATATGAATGTGCCAATCGTACCACATTGTGCTATTCCCAATTTCTTGACTCGGAAGTGATGTACGCAGGTCGAAGATCATTTCGAAAGGTATTTCAGCCGGACATTCCAAGAACGCGTGCCCCATATTCTGACACCTCCTGTTGTGAAACCACTTGAGTCAGATTCATCCAAGTGAAGAGCATATGCGGAATTGCATGTATTACACCTTGTATCATGTATTGAAGTTCCTTTGCATTTCTAACTCCTGAATAGGTACAGAGGTCTTGTCGCATTTCGTGGGAATGCCAGCGCTGGCAGGCAGTGTAAGACTTGAACTGATTGGTTAAGCAATTTTGACCAGCTTGTTGGCCAGTGTCTAGACCTCCCTCCCCAAAACTATGTCTGAGTATGGTTCCAACATGTTCCCCAGTGGCGGCCATTGCTCTCTGATAGCACTAGAATGTATAGAAGTTTGTAATGTTGGTTTTCTTCTTGGCTATAAACTTTTCTTAAGTTACCCGGAAAAGGGTAGTGTAGACTACGTCGTCGACGCCCTGTTTGCGGAGAAACTAAGACTGTTTCGACGAGAAAAGCGATCTCGAGAAAGCCACACATTGCACAGTGGCTATATGGATTGCAAGCGGGATGGTATGATGGCCCCATTTGGTTTCTTTTGCAGGGAGGCGCTCCAAGCAAACCTAAGGTCCTAGGGTGCATGAACACTCGAGAAGACGCTGAGAGAAAAACAATGACTCGACATTCTCTGCATGTGTTGACAGACCATGCCATTTCTTTCTTTACTTAAACTTTAAACCTTGCAACGACAAGAATAGCAGCTACCAGGGACATCAGGGTGGAAAATATGCTATGTACAGAGTTCCGAGCTGTCGCATTCGACAGCGTACAAATATATCAACAGCATTCAACAGCCATTTGCTGGAAACGAAAATAAAACGCTGACACATAGATTCCATAGATCCACTTTGTGCAAAATGCTGCCCTCAGTTGCAAGATAGCGAGAGAAACAAGATGCTTCAACTGCATTTCCCGGCTAAATTTTCAACATGTTTCCAAGATTTGTTTAGAAGGAGCAGTGCATTCAGAGGTACAAAGCTGAAAAACAAAATTGGAGAAAATAATGAGGTCTAAGAGGTCAAAGAAAGAAAGCTGGGGACTGAGCGTGCACTTTTTCTGAGTTTACAAGATGAGAATTGCCTTGTTTCAAGTATGTACATAGACCTGCACTTCTTGAAAAGACGTTTGCATCTTAAACGAGTTACTTCTTTCAATGTATACTGCATTATGCAATAAGAGTTTGCATCTTGTAGCTGAAGACCTGTTTAACAAAAGGAAAATTATAATCCTTTCAAGAAACCTTCCATCTTTGGAATGCAAAGATGGCTTGAAACAAAATTGCACTTTGTAAAAGATTGTATAATATTGTATATATATATATATACCTTTTCCAAAAACAAATGCTGCATCATTCTTTAGAGTAAGCTGGTTCTGAAAGATGTAGTGCTGCTGCTTTTAAAGGCTACACTATGAGAGACAAGCAATGCTAATTAAACGATGCAGTTACTTGAAACACTGCCAAATCTTTTGCGGCAATACTGGACATTGAAAGGTATACTAAACATGTTCAAGACTACTTCTCGTTCCAAGAATACTGCATTTTCCGCAGGTATCCTCCATGCTTTGAAAGAATTCTGCGTCTCTTCAAGAAGTACTGTAAGTTTGAAGAATTAATTGATAACCTTTGAAAGAATACTACACTGCGAGAGAAATAGTGCCTTCTGCAAATGAAAATTGCTGCATTTCTTGAACATAAATAAATAATGCCACCTTTTTTGTGGTAGTACTGCACTCTTGAAAGATATGATGCCTGTGTACAGGGACTGCTTGCTACACATCAAGTGCACTCTTAGACTCCAGGGCACGATATCTCAATTTCATTCACTTTCTCCATGTTCACCTCTGCAGCGTTTGTCCTCTTGGGTTCCATCCAATTCCACCAAAACAAAAAGAAACGAAAAACAAAAATCATGCACAAAAAGGAAACACAAAAAGATTGCAAACCCCAAGACGCGGAGAAGATAGAGAGACGTGATGGGACGTGGGTCCTGTTTTGTTTTTTCTTGTTAAAAAATGGTTTTGCATGCCCAGAGAGGAAATTAATTGCAGAGGTGAGGCGGCAGATGGTTCAGGTGAGATGCTGCAGAGTTGGGTCTTGACAGTTTTTTGTTGTTTCTATTTTTTACATGGTTTTAGGCACTTTTTGCATGTTTAGTAACCGCCTGAAATTGAAGACAATGAAACCGACACAGTGCTCGTCTTGACTATGAAGAGGTGGTGGCATTAGTGTCAAGTGGAGGCAAAAGAGAGAGCATTTCTACTTCTCTTAGTTGTGCGACTTCTGTGGTTTTCTACTCACAGATCCGCTGGTTTTGCGCACGCTGCTGGTCCCCTGTTCTGAAAAAAAGGGGCTAGCAGGAGATTTAACAAGGCCTGGGCGTTGTACACACCTCCAATCACCTCCAAGTATTTGCTGCGGAAAGAAGTTCACTTCTATTCATTTGAGCAATACCTTTCATTAACAGTTGGTGAATCGGCAATGTGTTATTTCTACTTATTCTACTTAGATTCTACTTTAGATTGAATGTTTGGGCTGTGCAAAACCGATGTATATGTTGCTTCACGCAGGAACTTTTCGCAGTGCGATTCACTGCTGATCGGGAACAAGGGTGAGGCCTGTTAAGTTGTCAAATGTTGTCAAGGGTTTGAATTGTGAGCTTTTTCGAGTGCTGCACACTGGATGCCGTTGATTTTTGGCAGCTACAAACAGTTCGCCAATCTTCCCCACGCTGAAGGCTTCAACCTTCCCTTACATCGAGGCAGCAGATGGGAACAACCAAGTTGAACACGAGGCCAGGATCGCGTTGACAAAGATGATGAGATATCAGTAGCACAGCTATAGTGCCACATGATCCATACAATGCCATACAAACAAGTCTCACCGGGCACTCCTTTTTCTCGATTTTGTGCTCGCTTCTAATCCTTCTGTGGTGTGACTGCGAATTTTGTAAGCTTTGAGGCCACAACCTCACGAGTCTCAGAGGAGCAGTGACCTTGATGCATTTGCTGAATGAATGATATGAATGACCTGAATGGTATCCCTACCACCCTTGATGTCATGAAGTGAAAGATGAAGCCTGGTGAATGCAAAATGAAGATGTTCTGTTTTCCAGAGTTGCGAGCAATGGGCAAGAATGGAGTGCAGAAGTGGCTGAAATGAAGTACTACTCAGATAGGAAAGCATGCTCTTTTTGACATGCCTAGTTCGCTCCACGTGTCCAAGATTCTCCTGGCATCTCCTGGCTAAGCCAGATGGATCCCTTTAAACGTTAACCTTTTGCTTCTCTGAAACCTCCATGCCATGGATTGGTGCGAGTATTCAGCCAACTGGCACATCACATATTTTCAGCTGACGTGGTCAGGACCCTTACCAGGATCAGTTTGAAACGCCATATCAAGCCGCATGGAAACGGAATGTTTGAGGATTTAAAGAAAAATTAAAGCTTGTTCTGCAGCGACCTTTGCACTTGAAAATCTTGAAATATCTTGAAATCGTGCACTGTCGCATCTGTCGCGAGGTTGTTGTACCTGACAAGTCGGGGTCTTGCTCCAGAAGAGGCTGTGTCACTTGTCATCAATGGCTTCTGTCAGGAGCGGAGCGCTGAAAGGCTGAATCAAACTCTCAAAACCTCTCAAAGGATCTCAAAGGTTGTTCTACTTGTTACACGTGTTCGCTTGAATATCTTGAATTAATGAGTAGACAACTTGCAAGCAGGATGTTTTTGACCAACTGCCGATGGAGTTTGCTTCAGAGGTGGGCTGTGCCAGGGCCATGTGGTTCAGACTTCAAGAGAATAAAGTTGACACCGATTGCCCCAAGAAACGCCAACAGTATCCAACACTTATCAACAGTCCATACAGTCCCTCTTTAAAATCAATCCTCGATCAGGCTCAAAAGCTCCTGTCCTTGAAACTCGAAGGGACAGTTGGATAGTCAAATGCCCAGATTGCATAGACTGTCTACGGAGCACTTTCACACTGCTCGGGGCTCGGGCCCGCGCAAAAGAGTTGAGACTCAAACATGAGCAGTTTAGAATTGAAATACATTTATAGATATTTATAGATGCATAAATATACTGTAATGTAATGTAATGTAATGTACTGTAATGTACTGTAATGTAATGTAATGTAATGTAATCTACTGTAATGTAATGTAATGTAATGTAATATACTGTAATGTAATGTAATGTAATATACTGTAATGTAATGCAATGCAATGTAATGTAATGTAATGCAATGCAATGCAATTTAATGCAATTTATATAATGTAATGTACTGTAATGTAATGGAATGGAATGTAATGTAATGTAATGCAATGTAATGTAATGGAATGTAATGTAATGTAATGCAACGTAATGCAACGTAAGGTAATGTAATGTAATGTAATGTAATGTGTGTATAAATATATATATATACAGTCACAGAGTTATGGTGTATAGCTGTATAACTGTATAACGCATATCCTAGGTCGCGGGGCATGCAAGAGATTTACGACTGGAAAGCCTAGGGAAGCCTCTGGAAGCCTAATGCCGTAATGGGTGGAGCAGTGAAAGCCTTTTAAGAAGCGGGAATACTAAAGAATCTAAAGAAAAAGAACAGAAAAAGACAGCATTGTCAAAGCAATGCCATTAGTTTGTTCCAGCCCTGGTAAACTGACTTTCCGCATCTTTCCGACCTGCCCCACGAGAGATGTTGCAGAAACATCCAGAAGACCTAGATGAAAAGCAAAACTGGACTGCAAACCGCCTGAGTGCCGAAGCGGGGACATGGTGATTCTTAAATGTTCCAATTTCTTCCAAGATTTCGCACGGTGTTTTCACAAAGTTGCCCCTAAGTTCACTTTAGGAATCAATAGAATGATATAGTATGTATGTATTCTGAGACAGGGAATGCACACATTTACTTTCGGAATAGTCAACTTTCTTGCAGGAATGCCACATCATACATGTTTTTTTCAGCGGACCCGTCAGAATTGTTAGAACCTAGAACCTCAAACATGGTCATGTTTGCAAGAAAGCTTGCAGTCCCCTTTTCTGAAATATTACGGTTTCATTTAAAGGATAACATAAAGTTGCATAAGTTGCTTTTTAAGTGGATTGCGCGATGGTAACGCAGTGATGGACACATTGCTCCAGGCACAAGTTGAAAATACCTCTTTGTAGCACGTGAAAATGGTTGCGTTTGGATTAAAAAAAAAAAAACCTGGATTTTAATGAAATTAGATTATTAGATAGATTATTAGATAAATGAATAGTCGACATTTCTCAACGAACAACGTTCCTTTTCCCTGTGCCATTTGTGCGTGTGCGCCATACCAGTGCTGCTATGTGCTGCTCTTACATGGAAAATGGGGCCTTCTTTCCCCTATGCTGCAATACACGCATTTAACAGTCGAGGAGCGCTATATCTTTTAAGACAAGATGTCTTTGCCTGCAAAGTGCAAAGCTACAAACATGTTGCACTTGTCATTGAGAAAATCACAACTCATCAATAAATAAGTGCATGATAAAGCATGTACTTATTGTATAGATAATATATATATATACATACGTTGTACTGTTAAATATACACATCTACTATGGAAGAGCGCCGGTCATCGAGGGGAGTGGAGTGCATACAAAGGTAAAAGACAACAACAGACAGAGGGAAAATTCCGAAAGATCATGAAAAAAACGCATCTTCGAATCCTTTCTACATGTTCTACGTTTGACATAAGGGCAACAGGGAGAAGGGAAAGATGATGTGAAACAAACATGCTCAATCTGAGCAGTGGAGGAGCCAGGAAGGCCAGGAAGGCCAAGAAGGCCAGGGAATCACACAGTCTCTGCCTGATGTGAATGTGAAAAATGTGAACAACGTAGTGTGAACGTAGTGTGAATTCAGTGTGAACATAGTGTGAACGTAGTGTGAATTCAGTGTGAACGTAGTGTGAAGGTAGTGTACACATGAACTAGGAAGAGAAACATCATGCCCTTAGCGTAAACTGCCTGGATCGCTTGGCGCTTAGGTTGCCAGGTGGAGCTGATGTCTGGACTCCGAGCTGCTGTGGATACCACATGGACTGACGAAGGATTGAAACTCTGCAGATCAAAGTTGATCAAAGAAACAGTGAAAAGAAATGAAAAGAATTTTAGTCAGAAGACATATGTGTAGGAATGCAGACATGGTTGATCATGTATGTATGATTTTGTACATGTTTGCGGAGATCCCTTGAGGTTCTTTGGCTTCCACGAGGTGTCTTGAATTGTCTTGACATGTTTGGACTGGACGTCTGATCCAGAAAGCCTGGCTCGCAGAAGGCACAAAGTGTCTCTCACTGCTGAGTGCAGCCATTGAAATTGGTGCGCTGAGTGCTAAGCACCAGAATCTTTTCCACGTGATAGCCGTAGAATGTGTGAATTAGTTGTTTAAGATTCTAAGGTTATCATACAGGCTTCAAGGACCGAAGACCCAGCTTCCTGGAAATCAGCTTGGATCAACTATCCGTAGCTATCCAACCAGAGTCGCTTCAATGTAGGATTCAAATGGATTCAATATGATTCTATGCATATTCGATGCAATTTGATGTGCCATCGATGATGACCACTGGTTATGATGTTCATCGATTACAGGTCTTTGGTCAGACCCGTGCAAGACCTGGCCCCAGCCAAAAACCAACGAGTGCGGTGTAAGTTGCGCTGTGCTAACATTGCCAGTAATTCTGAGAGCAACTGTGAGAATAACTGTGAGCATGTCTTCATTGCTGAGAACGCCGTATGGGCACTGCTTTAACACCGCCGTTCCCGTCACTTTGCAGCTCTCTTACCCCCACTAAACGCATGTGGCAACGCATCATACAGCTCTTGATGATACCAATCATCTCAGGACAAATTCTGCGTACCCAGGCAAACGATCAATGATCTATTGCAAAATCTATTGCAAAAAGTTCGTGGCTTTGTCTCAGCTTGAATTGCAGATCATTGCAGAAAGCATGTTGGTCTCTGCGATTCGCGAATGAGAAACTCTTGTAGCGGAGCTTTGCTCTACACTCAACAATTCTCAACAGATCTTCAACAGATTCATTTCTCTTGTCTTCATTGGTATTCTGTATTCATTGATTATTCATTGTATTCGTTTGTATTCTCTTGTCATCTCTTGTCATTTTCCTCGCAATGCCGCGCAAGCCGATCGCCCTTGCCGCCCTGGCACTATGTCAAGCTTGGAGCCCACATGGAGCCCACATGCAACATCTGAAAGAACACGGAGACCCCACAGTCCGATCAAAGGATGTCAAAGCTATTAAATAAATCTAAATAATGATTAACATTGATTAACAATGTATGTATATGATGTATATGAATAATTTATGAATACATATGACATATCTACAACGATAGTATAATGATATTGCTTTGCAAGAGTCTCAAATCTACACGGTTGTTCCGACAGATGATCGCTGTGCCACCACATGACTGAGGCGGAATCCAACAACTCCCTCTCGGCCCTTCACAGCCAAATCCAAGAGGCACAATGTGTTTGTCGTTTTCGCATTCCGCATCTTGTTCTATGTGGGTACTGAACGAGTCTGAACGAGTCTGAACGAGAACTGTTGTTCAATCATTTCAATCCCTTGTTGAGTTTCCCTGTTCCTGACATCGCGGAGACGTTTCTTCCGTGTAGCAGTGATGCTTTTTGACAGCCAGCAGTCGAGCCCCTAGGAGCTTCATCGCATTATGATTGCGACCTTTGTACAGATCCTGGAATGGGCAAACCTTTGCAAGTTGATATTGTGGATACACTGTGCTGACTGTGCTGTCACAAAGTGCTTTCACAAGGTTCTGGAACAGGAGTTTCAGCTTTAGCATGCTTTAGCAATTTGACAAGCAATCACCCAGAGTTGAGGTGGCAGAAAATGCTGTGCAAAATCGAACTCAAGAGGCACGGTCAGTCCACGAATCCATCTCAGTGCTGGAAACCGAGTGCTTTTTTCACATTTTGATACCAAAGATCCTTGAGATTTTCTGAATGTGAACTCACAATTCCTTGCTGGGGAACCTTTGCTGCTTTCTTGTGTTTGCTTTGACATGTTGCTTAGCCTATGTTCATGGCTTTGCAGGTACTTTCACTCCGGGAAAGCGAGCATATTCTTTCAGAGTGCCATGCTCAGCAAAGAATTTGCAAAGCACAAACGCATGTAAGAGTGTGCCTTGGATCTTCGACCGCTTTGCCGGTATGACATGTTTGACACATGTTGGCGATGTTTGACAACTTGTCAGAACAGCTTGACAAACATCCCTGCAGAACGTACATGTGTGTACATGTAGTACATGTGACATGGTGATACAGCCCGAATGTGGTCCGCAGGTGTGGGCCAAGATACGATGCTGCAAAAGCAAAGACTGTGCAGGTAGGAGCACATCTCAAAGATATGTTCGATTGTTGGCTCGGCGGTGTTGGTCTTGTGCCTCTTTTGGTCTTGTGGCATGGATTTATGGATTTCAGGCAAAGGATGACATCTCAAAGCTCCAGGCTGGTTGCAGACTTGGCGCCAGCAAATTGTGCGAAGAGGGGTGAATTCAAAAGGCATTTTGAATCATTTTGAATCATTTCATTCATTTCGAGCTTCTTTTCAGATTTTTTCAGAAGGATATGTGCTTGGCATGGCATTGCATGTTTATTGCCTGGGTGACATGGAGAAGGAAAGTGAATCCACATGGCCAGAACCATAGAACAGCTGGAGGAACTGAAACATGGGGAACGTGCCGAACCATCACAGCACAAAGCACAAAGCATCACAAAGCATCCCAAATCTACACCATCTGATGCCATCAGCTGCGGCATGCGGCAAGCCTTGTTTCATCTTGTTTCCCACCTTGGACCTTTGTCGGACCTGTACATGCCATGTCACACATGTCCCGCATGTCCCTTTGCTTTTGCCGCTAAAGAGGGAAGCTTCGACACCCAAAAATATACTGCAATCCAAGGCCGGCTTCAAATCGATGAATACAGAAATATAATGATATGTAATGTACATATATATATACATATATAATTTACAGTAATTTACATAATGTGATATACATATATATATATGTTACATACATACATACATACATGCATGCATGCATGCATACATGGCATGACATGACATGACATGACATGACATTACATTACATTACATGCATACATGCATTACATGCATTACATTCACATACATTACATACATTGCATACATTACATACATTACATACATTACATATATATATATGTTGACGTTTGCCCGAAATCCACGGAATTCCATGTGGGCTGTGTTGTTTCCGTGCGTATTTTTCTCACACTGCGAGCATGCAAAATATTGATATTATTCTGTGTCTCATGGCATTGTTGCGCTTACCTAAGACGGTGCCAAAATCACCTTCTGAAGCGTATCTTAAAGATATCCTCCGTAATTTGCAGTGTTTCGAGCCGCTAACTGAGACCTCAACAAACCGCGAGACTTTGAAAGAACACCAAAACAACCTAACCCCAAATAAACACTAAATAAACCCTAAACAAACCCTAAACCAACCCTAAATCAACCATAAATAACCCTAAATAGACCCTAAAACAACCGTGAGCAAACCGTAAAACAATCCTCAGTAACACGAAAATTAACTAAACAAACCCTAAAGAAAATCTAAACCAACCCTAAGCAAACCCTAAAACAATCTGAAATATAGCCTGAACAAATTACAACGTAACTAAACCCCCAATGAAACTTTGGGCGAACGTCCGCCCCGGAGGGAAATACGTATATATAGACAAATACATCCAATGAAATATACAGAAATCGTACGAGGTCGTGAGCGTCGAAAACGCAGACTCAAGGTTTCATGGTGTGAGACAAACTCAAGCGCTCCACTCAGGAATAGGTGAACAAAATAGGCCTGAAATGCACAGCTTTGGATTCCTTGGAGTTAGAACACAGGCATGACTGAATCGTTTTTACCTTGTCTTGTCAGACTGGCCAAGTGCCCTTTCCCAACGTCATGAAAGGTTTGTTGAGCGTAGGATGAAGGCGTTGCATGTCCCTACCCTTAAGCACGATGACCGGCCCTTGGATCTAGAATCTAGTGCCTGTCAAAGTCAGCAAAATGGAAATGAAAGAAGCGTTGGCCAGGCATCAATCAACCAGACCAAGATAGACCTCCTTGCGATGGAGGCTTTTCCGTGTAGAAAATCTCTGCAGATTCTTTTGGCTTCTGGTTCAGCTTCACAAAAATCCTACAAGTTTGGCTGCATTGTTGCGTGATGTTGGAGTGCCAAAAGGCCAAGGTGCAAAAAGCCAATGCCTTTGAGCAAAGAGAGAAGGTTGTTGAGGAAGAGGCCAGAGTTCCTCATGTGTATGTTTGTGTAAGAGCTGCGAACACTTTACTGAGAGTTTGCGTATACAATGTTGATCAATGTTGTATAGCTTATTTGAAAAGAATACATGAAGTGGTTGCTGCTTTAGGCAGAAAAGGAAGCATGGGCGTCGCGGAGCAAGGCTGACGCTATACTTCCCCAGGCAGATTGTTTTTTAATATTTTTTAATGATGCATTTACATGCACTTACTTGTGTTTGGTCTCACACCTGAGTCCACTGAAGATGTACCATGATGTACCCCTGGAGTATCCTGGAGTCACAGGGTTACTTTGGTTACTTGGATTTGGAGCTGCGCTCAAGGATGATGCTTGGATTATTGGTGGCATGGCCATCTTTGTCAGCTGGCTCAGCAGTCTTCCTTGCCAGGAGCACAAGAAACTGAATTGCTCAGCGTCGCATCAAATTTGCATCCGCATTCAGTTTCTTAGATTCTGCGAATGTCCTTTGTGGCAAGAGAATGGACGTGATCAATTGGTTATGAAAGATTTCCTTGTTTTTTGAACAGTTCATTTGACCAGCTGACTGAAACAAGTGGCTGATTCGGTTTGATCATGTATGACTTTATGACATGCAAATGTGCTTCAGCATAAAGTGGTGAAATCAATGAAGCGCTTGTCAGCAACCTATCCACAAGTCTGCAGGTTCATAGTTTTTTGATGTAGCCTTTTTATGCCTTTTTGTGAAAGATGAAAGAGAAGTGATCACAGGGATTTTGCAGAATCCGATAGCATTGGCGTCTGGACAGCGGCTTGGACTCTGGACTCATCTGGGCACGTTTTTTTGCCGAAACCGCTCCGCTGAATCCGCAGAACCTGATCGCCGCTTTGGCTGGTGCGCTGGGAGCTGCCGGCTTTCTGAACAGCGAACTCTTTCTGCAGGCACGAGATGCAAAGCGATGCAAAGCGATGCAAAGCGATGCAAAGCGATCTGCTTGGTTCTGGTTGCTGATGTTTGGTTATGCGTGTTTGCTCACAGGATCTCACACAATGCCACGTGTACCGAAGAGTCATCACTGGTCTTGCATGGTTTGCCATTGAGAGGCAAGCAGCGTGCTTGTGGTAGCACTTGGGGCTGGAGTTGCAGCAGGTACAAAGGCCAGGGCCTCCCAAAACAACCTCAAGAGTTGAAGAATGTCGAAGATTCCGGTCGACAACCAAAGTTGTTGGGAACAAGGAGGAAGATTTGACGAACGGATAGTTTGATAGTCAAAAGTGATGCCATGTATGCGAAGCATTGCGAAGCTAGCTTGTAAGATTTTATCAGATTCTACAAGAGACTCGAGAACGTCCTGCTGTCACCCCTCAGCACAACTCTCATTCTCTCCTCGTTTGCCGAGTTCTTCAGCTCCTGGGGTAGCGAGCCAATGTTGCTCCGAGCTTAACCAATGATATCGCAGACACAGAACAAATGCGTACAAAACATCTCAGAGCATCTCAGACCATCTTAGACCAATACAGTACCATGTCTTGCCAGATCATTCCAGATTCCTTGAGGTTGTCTATCCTTGTAGGGAGCGAGGCAGGTTGCATCAGATTTGGCAAGCGACTTATATTTCGCTTCCTACTCGACTCTTGGGTAGACTCTACATGGCCCAACCATGCCCAACTGCTCGCTTTGGCTTGCACATGCTCGTACTTTGGAACCCTAATATGACCCAAACGATATCCTGCCGCAGGCAGCAATACTTTCAGCGGCTGCTGCTTTTGTTGGTTTCGCGGGCTTTCAGCTATTCATAGGAGTGCTTCGTTGACCTACGTTGAACTTGCCTTGAAATAGACCAAGTACTCGTAGCACTTGAAGCCACAACTACATGTCTCACTACCAGCGCTTCCAGGAGCAGTGATAGGCCTACTTGTTGCTCAGATCTTTGTATCATGGGCAGCTGGCTGGTTCGATGCTCAAAGCCATGCAGTTCAGCAGTTGGTCTTCAAAACGTGATGGTTTCTTTCCGTTTCTGAATTTCCATTCGCTTTCATCGGAGACATGAAGGTCGATCCTGAATCAACCTGACTTCCTGTACTCTTCCTACCTGCAGCAAAAAGTCTTTCTCAGAAGCAAAGTCAGCCTGAGAACCTCCAGCAACCCCTAGAATCCACTGTAGCATACTGTAGCTATGCTGCGTTCTGTTTTCAAATAAGCTTCGGTGGTATCCCCAACAGCGCCAACGTTTTATTTTTACAAATCTTTCTGAAGCGTGCTGCCAAGCCAAGCGCTGGAAACACCTCAGCTGGGTTTCCGTGAATTAAATGGTCGCAAATCCTGTTGAACCTGACCTGGCTCTGCACCAAAGCCTCCCAGACCTTCTCCGGAACCTTCTCCGGAACCTTCCCCGGAACCCTGTTGAACTTGACCTGGCTCTGCACCCAAGCCTCCCAAACCTTCTCCGGAACCTTCTCCGGAACCCTGACCTGGCTCTGCACCAAAGCCTCCCGGAACCTTCTCCGGAACCTTCTCCGAAACCTTCTCCGGAACCCTGTTGAACCAACCTGGCTCTGCAACAAACCCTCCCACACCTTCTCCGGAACCTTCTTACCCAAAGTATCCCAAAGCAAACCCCCCCTCAGAAATGGAACAAACAAGAAATCAGCATCAAAGAGGGCGTTGGGCAAGCGCGATTTTAAATTATGCGCACATTCATTTTGCGTGCATTCAATCTTGATTACTTAGGCTTAGCTGGACCGTTAAAGACTACTCAATCTCGTGACTAGGCCAAGACTTTTTCCAACTCCCAGTCGGGTTTCCATACAAGTTATTAAGTACCCTGGTCAGTTTCTTTTTGCTCGTTTAGCTTCCCTTGATGCCTAGTACGCAGCAAGCCAGCTGCAACGATTCAAGAGGGAAATGAGATATTGTGGATAGCTTAATAACAACATCGCTGCGATCCAAACTAAGATTGCTCGAAGCAGGCAAAATTGCCAAATGTGCGGGTGGAGGTTTTTGTGAGTGGAATGACAAATCCGCACAGATCCGGACGTTTGCCCGGAGCCTACGTTTTTTTGGGTGAAACGACCCGAGTTTTCAACGAAGTCGTGCGTAAATGTCTGGTTCTCCCGGATCCTAGGTTTTCTCGCAGAAAGCAGCCCTTTTGCACCACTTTATTTTCCATAAGATAGAAATAGATAGAATACAACATAACCATGATAATCATTAGAAGACCTTTATACGTATTGGTTGGAGAATGTTGGAGGGGCTGGCAGATTTAGATTTTGTGTCATGATGTAATATGATGGACGAAAATATAACATAATATAGCCATTATAAGACCTTTATACGTATTGTTTGGGGGTGGCAGATTTAGATCCTTCTGCAATGATGGAATTGATTGAACATAGGCAACATAGGGTACATCGTGGGAAAAATGCGATATTATGGAACCAATGGTAAAGATGGAAAAATGGAGGGAATACCTGTGGATTTGGATGAGAGAAGTGTTAAAACCGTGGCAAAAACGGAGATTATGTGAGGGGCGAACGTCTGGTTCTGCGGGGACAAGTCGTTGGATTAGTTAGTCCTCAAAAGCCCTTCGAGACAAAGTCACAAAGTCAATTTTGAGCTGGAAATGGAGCGTTCGTGTGCCATTTTGAGCTTGTTTCAATTGTTTGGTTTTAGGTGTCCCGGTGTGCCATTCTGGTGACAAGCTCAGCAATGTCAAGTTGTCGAACAGTGCTTTTATCATTTTTTATCACCCATCTGTCCCATCTGTCTGTTTTTTAAACATGTGCAATCGATTGCAATCGCAGGTACTTGGTCTTCCTAGCCGTGGGTGTAGCAGCCACCGGCTTTGGTGACAAGACTGCTGCTGCAGTGCTCGGCTACGCCGCAGCAGGTTTGATGCTGTCAAGGTGCAATGAATGTTGATAATGTTGCTGAAATGCGCACGTTTATATTTTTGCAAGATGTCTTCCACCTTAGAAGATATCAATATATTGTCAATTTTGTTACTTTGATGGTTCGAGCTTTCCCTGTGTCATCCAAATTCAATGTTTGCTCTTCAATCGACGGTGTTCGTTTTTTGCAGTTGCGTGGTCTTCTTCTTGGCTGAGTTTTTCACAGCTGCAGAGCTGCCAGCTTCATGGGTAGACTCGGTGGCCCAACTGAATTTAGTCTTGCAGAGTCTGGCAGAGAGCTGACTGGAAAACTGGTGTTTGGGTCAAACGAGCTTTTGCATTGTTTGTTCGTTCTGTATCATTTTGTTCTATGTTGTTAAATAATGTTAAATATAGTTAAATCAAAATGAAGAAACTTCGGAGCATCCTGGAAAGGTAGACGCTTTCGTGAACGGTGATCAGCCCAAGCAAAAACTGGGAGAGGCTGCGTAGACGTGGTTTGACAAATACTGCCGCTGCAAAATGGCTTTTGGCAGGTTGGTGAGGAAACTCTGATGGCACTGATGGCCTTGAAAGTGTCGCAAAGAGTTTGATCAGTCCCTCTGCCCAGATGGCTTTCATCATTCGCCTTTGCGGTTTCGTGCTTTGGTTTGTCACATCCTCAGATTCTTCATAAATTCATATAAATTCTTCAGGTGTCTCCACTGGCACAGCTGAAACTTGCTGCTGCAACATGTTTGCTTGGAGGGGACAATGGCCTTCGGCAAGAAGTGTTCTGCTTGGTTCAGAGACAAGCTTCAAGACAAAGAACCCTTGAGGCGAGCATGATGAGCATGTACTGTAGTAGAAGCAACTAGAAGCTTATAGTAGAAGCATCTAGTCGAATCTTGCGTTTCCGTCCGCAATTCACACCTCGCCACAGAGCCAGAGACAGCTAGAGACATTCGATCGACTTCGTCGACTTGGTCGACTTAGTGTCCGAATTTCTTGGTGCTTGGCGCTTCAGGCAGCTTGCAGAGCCGCTGATGGACTCACCGGCAGCCGTTTGATTGCACTGTGCCACTTCGGTACGAAGGGCCTGGAAGTGCTTCCAGTGCCTTGGCTGAGCCTTGCATTATCGTGCATTTCCTGTTCAGATGACTGTCAAACTGTTTTGCAATGCCATGCAAGGCCTTTATGTCGGCTTGCATGACTTCCGCCTGTGGAATGTTTTCAGATGTGTTCAGCACTTTTGCAGATGTTAACTGTCAAATTGACACATGCTAACACATGCTAGCACGTGTTAACACGTCAAATGCGCAAGTTCAGTGCTCCGTGGTACTTGTATGTACGCGTCATGTTATTGCGAGGTCCAGAATTGCTTCACCCGTAGAGACCAGACACTGCCAGACACTGACAAGAATGGCGCCGCAGTTCCAAGATGTTTGTTCAGTCCGTTGAGTCTGTTGAGTCCATCAAACTTGAAATGTTCTGCATCCAGGTTCGAACAGGTCATGTCGAGTCTGGACAGTGAAAAATTGCAGGGAAAATTGTTTATTCCTTGTCTTCTGCGGAAAAGTCTTGGCTCAAATGGGGAATTTTAGAACGCAGCAGCCTGCTGTATCGGCGTGGGGGACTGAACTTTGGGCCACTCAGGAACGCATGGCTGTGTGTTTCACTGTGCAGAAATATATCATACATATTTGTATAATTGTGTATTCCTGTACATATGTATATGTCGTATGTACATATATTGTTTTACATATATGTATATTTAATTATATATATACCCATGTATACACGTGTTGGTAATCATTCATACAGTATATTTTATGCATATACAGATATATATATATTTATTCACGCTTTGGTTGAATATTGATTGACTTTTACAACTCAGCCGCCTGGTTTTCTTTGAGTAAGGTCTTTGATCATGTTTGGAACTCGGCCGTTTTGTGTGGACAGCAGAAGTGAGGCACTGTGTCATTTTGCATCGAATTGGCACTGTCCAACGGCTTGAGTAGTGTTTGGCTGAGTGTTTGATAGTTTGGTTCTGAGGCAAGAAGCAAATGGCCCTGTTGAAGCTTAAAACCGAGCTGGAGAATGCACTAGCGCGGGCCTCGAAGATGCTCCACAGGAGTCGCCTGCAATCTTCTTCAAAATACTGGTAGAAGATGAAGAAATTGAAGAATGATGAAGATTCATGACGTTGGATTGCGTTGTTGTTGGATTTTGTTTGTGAAAGGAGAGATGGTTGAGAAGCTGTAGAACATCTCAACAAACCTGTCATAATATCCCATCATATTGCAATACTCATGTATTTAGGAGAGACATACATATGTCCGTTTGCAGCGAGCTCATGCTTCGGGGATTTGCTGCAAATCAGCTAAACAACGAAATCCTAGCTTTGAAATGAGGTCCTTTTGCTTTCTTTATATCAGGTTCAATGCACAACGAAAGAATGATGAGAAACGCAAACCTCAAAATACGTGTCGTGTTCAAAAAAATGTGCTTTCATGTAGCTGCGACACGACGATGTGCAATACACCTTACAAATACTTACAACATCTTACAACAGTTTATAACATCTTACAACTCTTTTCCTGTTTTTCCTTTGTTGCGTGAATATCCCTACTGCAGGGTGAGCTCAGTCTTCACGAGGACTGAAGCCTTGAAGTACTGCAGCAACCACCAATCCATACGAAGTAAGCAAGATGTTTATGTTTAAAAATATTAGAGTTTTAGAATCTTTTAGACAACTTCAAGAGATTCAAAGCATGTGCATACCCATCCGGAATATGTACAGCACATAGTATTCCGACTCTGTTCCATTGGAAAGACAACTGCCGCATGTGCCATCTGCAAGCCGTCACCTGTGGGTACTGTTTTTCATGTCTCTCGAGCCATGATGGTTTGGAAGTGCAACGCTTTCGAGACATCACTATGTTGATCTATGTTGCTATCTACTTTTTACATGCGACAGGAATGAGAGTGGAAAATGCAAGTGCAGATGTTCCTCTAATACCGGGTCCTGGTAGGTTTGCCTCACATTTAAAAGGTGTGAGACCGACCTGGATGTGAAAGATACCAACAAGTCGATCTACAACAGTCAACAGACTGTCCAACAGACTTTTACTATATGTTTTTCTCTCATATCTTTTAATCCAGCAAATTGCAGTGTAGTCAGTTTGTGTGGCAAGTCAAAGAGATGAAATCTGGCTTTGCATTCAGGTTTCAATTGAATCAGATTCGTTGCAGGATGGCATGGAGGAGATAAACTCCACTCTAGCTCAGTCGTCCCTCCCTGAGATGTCCATGACAAGTACTGACAGGTCAGAACTCGGGAGGTTTTCCATGCTTTTCCTTTGTGTATTTCTTTCTGTTTGAACCTGCAGGCCCAAGGAACATACCAAAACGTCCGGTTGGTCAGGTTTGGTTGCACTCGAAATGATCTTGTTTAAGTATGCTTAAGTATGTTTAAGTTCATCTCGTGTGTGTTGTGTTCGAAGGTTGCTAGCAAACCTGCCCACCTGATACTGCACCATACTGCACCACCTCATAGCAGGTGTTAGATGGTGTTAGAACATGTTTAAGAAAATGTGTGTTTCGCCCCTTTTTTGGATTTTTTTGGTCAAGTGACGTTGAGATATCTTGACTTTGTTTGATGGGACGACCATCGCTTCCATGTTCATGTCATAAGCCTCACCTATTTTCATGTTGCTCTCCTCACAGGACTGACATATTTTGAATTATTGACACTGGTCTGACTTGAGATAAATATACTGATGATTACTGATGTGAGGTGATGTGTTTGATTGATGCCATGGTGTTTTGTCAGGCCGAGGGCGCAGCCTGATATTGACACAGAAGATCATGAAGAACCTGGTGAGATGGCTGGAAAGGCACCAGTACAGGAACGCTCTGAGGAAATGCAATTCTTAAAGAAAGGTGGGGAAAAGGTGTGTAATTGGCAAATCATACATCTATGATCATCTATGTATATTGATATATGATGATATATGATGGTATATGTATATGTATACACATAGACAGATATACACTGGATTTTGTATCTATGTATACGGTGCAAGCAGGAAGGATGGCACCTCGAAGGTTCTTCAATGATTCTCTGCAGGACAGGAGAGACCATTCCATTGTGCCCGGGGTCGACTGTCTACGAATTGACAGGATCTTGAGATTCTTTAAGACAGAAACTCTAGCTTCTGAAGGTTTTCAGGTTCTCGAAGATTCGTTGTTTCCGTAGCTTCAGAGTTCTCCGAACTCTTCAAGTCCACCAATAGTTGTTTCGGTTTAGATCCACATCGCCTGAGTCCATTCTCCCGTGGAAAAATTGAGCGCGGGCGACTTGCTAATGTAACCCATATATGCATGACCGGAGCAATTCCAGCAGGTGCGCGAAGGTTCTGAGTTCCAAACCACGGCTTTGAGTTTTCGAGAGGGTCACGTAAAGGTTCCACGAGGGAAGATTTCCTCTGCAGTTGGCACTGATGGCTGAAGAAGCTTTGGAGTCTTGTGCCGTCCAGGTTTTCTCAAAGCTCTTCACAGCTTCTATGTGCTTCTCAAAAACGTAAATGCTTTTTGGGACTTGCTTTAAGGTTGTTTTTCGGTTTCAGAGTGGGCGGTGAAGGCTTTGGTTACGCAGAGCGGGTGCTCTTTGAAGCAAGTTTCCTGCCCCAGATGTGGCTCATCCAAGTCCAAGATTCAACTAGAGTCTTAGAGGTACCTGAAGGTTCAGGTCTGTGAGAGGTAAGGAACCTAGGCATACCTAGGCACTGTTGGCCATGTCGACCTGCCTCTAAAGTTTTGTTTCATCTTGTGGCTGCGTTCCAGTAATCGCCCAATGTGTTCTCTGGATCGCTTCGCGGGTGCGGCGAGCACAATTCTAAACAGCTCAGAATATCTTCAGTAGGGATGCATGCAGTCAGGTATTTGGAATTAGGACATCATAGGAGCAATGGCTTCCTAATCTGAGTGAGTCAGCTTCAGTTGTGATGTCATGCTCGCAGGGCGGAGGGCCTGGTTGGAATACGCGGATGCCTTCTGCAGGGTCCACAGCTCTCAGCTGTTGAAATTGCACTGCAGTCTTCGGGAACTCCCTTCTAAATCTTATAAACTCTTGTGAATGTTGAAGCATTGATTTGTGTTTGTCAATGATTTGTCAAGCATTGAAGGTTGGCTACTGCAGTACCGCTGCCACAACGCCACTGGCAAGTGCCTGGCCCTTAGACAGTTCATTGGCTGCCACTGGATTGTCAAGTGCTAAAGGCATTATCTCAGCACGTTAAGACCAGAATTATATGATCTAGGCTAAACGATCCAGATATCCAAAGTAAGTCAGATGGAACGGATTGGAAAATCATTGCAATGTCTGCAATGTCTATGAAATTCTGTCAATGCCGGCCGATAATTTCGCCCAAGGCCACAGCATCGGCCATGCCTTCTACACCCCAGGAAGGAAGAAGTGGAGAGCTGACGCCCCGAGGGTCTCAAGCACCACAGCAGCAAGCCATTGCGATCTGAGTTTAAGGCACAAAGGTAGCAACAAATAGCAACAAGGCAACGTGATGCAAAGTGGCGGTCAAAAGATGTCAAAAGGATATGACGTTGACTTGGACTTGATTCAAAGCCATATCTGAGGAAGATGTTGAAGCTCCAGTGGGTGCCAGTGGGTGTAGAAGGGGCATGTCATGACTTTTGATCTAAGGAGTGCAGAGGTACTGAACTCTTGAATGCTCCTGGGCAGTGCGATTTGCTCCCGGGAGGCTGAGATCGAGCTCAAATGTAAGCATTGGGTAGCAGTGGGTACTGTAGCATGCCATATGGATCCATATGGAATATATTGAACAGAAGACAAATTGAATGCAAGTTGAATGCAACATGTTCCAATTTAATTGCGACCACCTTCTGAAGTTTCCGGCACAGTTGGACTACTCTACGTATGCTTTCCACCCGTAATCCTTCAGAGTGCAGTGAGTGTGATGCTTGATGCGACGTTCAGCCAATTTGTGTATATTTTCTCCAGGCGTTGGTCATTTTCGTCTTGGAACAACTTGTTTGCAATTGACAAAAGGGTGGCAGCCCTAGCGGGTTAGGGAAGACTCAAAGACTCCACAAGAGAACATACAAGATTCTCTAGCTTTGTTGCATAGCAAGAAAGGGTCATATGAAAAAGGGTCTTGAGTAAGGGAGCCGTTTCATCCAGGTTCACCCAAGCAAAGAATAGCAAAGATCCGGGAAAGATATGGAAAGGTGATTTTCCGAAGTTCTCCCCTTCACTTTGTGTCATTCCCAGGCCACTGAAAGCCTTGCCAATTCAGCAACGAATTGAAGAGGCTGAGGCGACCTAGACATGCCTTGCATTGGAATGTGTTCAATGAAATGTCTCGAACTTGAAACTACACTAAGTCTATGTATATAAAAGTCTATAAGATAGCGCTTGTAACTTATGTGTGTATAAGATATTTAAAAATTGTTTGCATAGAAATAAAGGTAGTATAGATACTGCCTGGTACATGTAAGTCGTTGCATACGTTTGTCATGAAGAACAACGAGATAGGTGTGTTGCCTATCTTCAGAGCTACATATCCGTACGAAAGCATGTACTGTACAAACTGGAGAGGATAGATGGCATCAAGATTGCATCAAGCACAAAGAATTATGGAAGGTCTTCGATGACTTTCACAGGTGGCTTTAGGACATCATAAGGTTTCTTGAAGATCGGAGGAATCAAAGTCTGAAATTTTACAATTACATACCATTACTACTTGTTGTATCCCACTTGCGGAAAAATTGGCAACAGTTGGATCAATGTGATGGAAGTGAAGCTTTGAAGCTTTGAATATCTTTGAAGATCCTTAAAGCTTTGCTGCTCATTTTCCCGATTCTCAGCAGACTCAGCAGACACTCAGCAGACTTCGTGCTGCTTCGCTCTGTGTCGCAGGCGGCCGAAGCCAAATTGAAAGCGGACTTGGACGGCCTGGGAGCGCTTCGAGAGCCTGGCAAGGCTGCGCCAAACATCGGTGACATCGGTGAACGTTTGTAAGACACATGTGGTGAACCTCTTAATGCAACATGTGGAAATAGACTGATATGATTGATATGATTTGATATGATATTCAGATATGTATAAATATATATATATACACAAACATGCTTAAAGTGTAAATAAGTCATCCAACATAATCTAAGATCATCTAACATCAGCTAAGAAATCGAAAGCTGCCACAGATCAAGAAATCGTTGGGCATTTTGGCACAGGCAAAGAATGACAAGGTCAGTGCATAGGTTTTTGTTCCTGTTTGTTTCAAGAAGACATGTTAAGACTGATTGAAAAGCATTGGTTCGTTCTTCTACTCATTCTAGTCAATATCATGCAACATGCTACATTGCTACATTGCTACATCCAACTAAACGGGCACTGCATGTCTCATCTTAAGTACGGAATATGAAGGATCAGGCGGAAAGCGCTGCTTTGGATGCCTTGTCGCTGGCACAAGCATCCCTACAAGCTCGTGGAATACCAGGCTGGTTATTTTCCTGTCCGATACATTACTGAAGATCGCCTACAGGGACGGTTCTTTTCCATTGATTCAGTCAGCATGGTTGAACCAGATGATCACCAAGACTTCCACAATTAATCGAAATCAATGTTTGCTGGTATGCATGCGCAGATGACAGAGATGTATGTGTGTGTGTGTGTGCGTTTGCATGGTTGCGGGTGGCCTTTCTTTGTTTGCTTTGGTTAGATCCGTTGTCTTAATATGTCTTAATATTGGTTCACTTGGAACTAGTTTTGGTTCGTTGAGAATGTTGAGAGGTATTTCAGGAGCATGTCAGTCGTAGGGCAGAATTTCATGAACTCCGGTCGACTGCATATCCGACACAACTTGTAGCTTTCATTCAATTGGAGATATATATATATATACATATTATATCCAAAATTATCCAAATCTTGTAAGAGAAGTTTGAAGAAGTTTGAAGCTTGTGGATTCCGCCAAATGAGGTGCTTCTTCGAGTTCGACTCTGTAGCTGCAGTCTTAGACAAATTACACGTTTGAAAATGCAATGGAGCGGGAAGAGTGACCTCACAAGACTGCAGGAAAGGTTCAACATGTTTACCTGAGCATGTTTAACCTCGTTTGTTAGTTGCTTCAGCTGAGGCAATACGAAGCCTGAGGTGGTCACTCCAGTGATCCACCGGGCCTGTCAGGGGCAATACATCCCGGACCATGGTTGTCAATGGTGCTTTACGCCTGTACATGCCAGGCTTTTTTGTGGAAGCGCATGTCCATCATAAATTCTGAATGCGGTCTTCCAGTGAAGTTTCTCCAACTATCAATTAATAGTCGGAAGATGTCGGAAGGTTTGTTTTGGCATGCTGTTGGCTATGCGAGTTCTCCACCCGCACCTATGTTTCAATCTTAATTCGCAAATATTCGCAAAGTCGCTTAGCTAGAGGCACTTAACGACGGCAAGAGGATTCGCCGACGATACATTCATTGACAATTTGGGAAGGTATTCTCGAATGTAGTTACCCATCCAATTAAAAGGTTGAAATATATCAAACTAAAATCAGAATGAATTATTTATACATATACATATATATATATATAATTATATATATATCATGTTAGATCCATAACAGAAATATAACCAAATACTCGTGTTTTGAGAACGCTGTGTTTATCCAGCTACAGTATGCAACCCAATAGCAGTAAAGGTCCAGGGTTTTAGTTTGCAGGGTTACGGGGTTATTGCATTTTCCGTCATACACCAGTCCCAGACCCAGAGATTGAAACCCACTAAGCACTGTTGTTGGGAATTGCATGAATTGCCAATTTGAAATCCACCCGCACAGAGGGTGCTAGAGCGTGGTAGTTTAGTGTCGAATGAACCAACTCAATGCAATCCGCTGGTACAGCTTCGGCTCACTGGGGGAAGGGGTCTTGAAAGTCACAGACCGCCAGAAATTGCACGAGGCCTGGTAATTTACACGGTTTTCATATGTTTTCATGTTGTGACTATGAATATCGTCATAGAATCGTCCAAATTAATTGTTTCGAGCGAACATCCGCGGAACTTGGGCTTAACCTCAGTCAACCTGGGCCAACTTGGCCCCAACTTCACACCAATGTGACCAGTTTGGCTCCAACTTCGCCCTGCGCTGGGAGCTTGAACCTAATATCACCGACTCAATGCAAAATGCTGAAAACTACCGCTATTTTCCGCGACGTTTTAGTACGTTCCCCCAAGTTAGGCATGCGTGTTGCACTCAACTGGAACTGCAGTTGACCCTGGATGGACCAATTTTTAGACCCAACTTGCGCCTAAACGTGCAAGTTTGGCCCAAGAAGGCCAAATATGGCCTTGGCTTGTTTAAATAAACTTAGGTAGGGAATGGTAGGGACATATTTAGTCCGTACCCCCAGCTACCATCCTCCTCAATTTCAAAAATCTGTCCCGGCCTGCAAAATTTCCCTCCCTACTTCTGTCCCGTAATTCTAAAATATGCCGGTATCATCCGGTATCGAATATATAAAATTATTATTTAAGCGCTTACGCGCGACAGCCGGCCAGGGGCCCAACCATGGGAGCCGCGGCGGCGGATTTAGGTTTAGGGGGTCTTGCAGGGGGTTGTTGTTGTTGTTGTTGTTGTTGTTGTTGTTGTTGTTGTTGTTGTTGTTGTTGTTGTTGTTGCGGTTTGTTGTTGTTGTTGTTGTTGTGGTGGTGGTGGTGGTGGTGGTTGTTGTTGGTGGTGGTGGTGGTGGTGTTGGTGTGGTTGTTGGTGTTGGTGTTGGTGTTGTTGTTGTTGTCGTTGTTGTTGTTGTTGTTGTTGTTGTTGCCGTTGTTGTTGTTGTTGTTGTTGCTGTTGTTGTTGTTGTGTTTGTCGTCGTTGTAGTTGTTGTGGTTGTAACCCCGGACCAGAGCAGCGGGACTGTGCAACTGCAGTGCATGGGCGGCTGTCACCACGGTGGCCGGTGGTGCGGGGACACACCGCTCCGCACACTTGGGGCCAACGCCCGGGACGCCGGGTATGACAGCAAGGGCGATGCGCTAAGGCGCCTTGCTGGGTGTGCGCCGATCCTGCGGGGGTCGGGTTCGGCTGCCGAAGGAACCTGGGGTCATGCCCGGCAGCATCGGCGTCCGAAGGGACGCCGAGAGATACCTGGGCGGGCCCCGGCAGCATCGGCACCGGCGTGCGGGTGTGATTCTGGCAGGCCAGCTGTTTCGATGGGTGCGCTTGCGGTGATGGTAGGCCCTGTCGGCGTCGTGGCCAGAGGCGGTGTTGTTGATGTGGCAGGTGGTCGGTGCTGGGTGAGGGTGGTGGGGGGGGGGGGGGGGTAGTGGTGGGGTGAGCGCCGTTGCCGGTGTCGTGGTCGTCGTGGTGGGAGTGTAGTCGGAGTAGGTGTAGTAGTAGGGGTAGTAGCAGTAGTAGTCGTACTAGTAGTAGTAGTAGCAGTAGTAGGAGTAGTAGTAGCAGTAGCAGTAGTAGTAGTAGTAGTAGCAGTAGTAGTAGTAGTCGTAGTAGTAGGAGTAGTAGTAGTAGTAGTAGGCGTAGTAGTAGTAGGAGTAGTAGTAGGAGGAGTAGGAGTAGTAGTAGTAGCAGTAGTAGGAGTAGTAGTAGTAGCAGTAGTAGGAGTAGTAGTAGTAGTAGGAGTAGTAGTAGGAGCAGTTGGGCGTGGGTTGTGCTGGAAGGTGTGGAGTTGGTGGGTGGGGGTTGGTCAGGTGTGTGCCTTTGGGTTTGGAGTGGGTGGGTTGGGGTCGGTCGGTCGCGGTGGGTGCCGGCAGGCATAGAATGGGTGGGTTGGGGTAGGTCAGTGGTGGATGGTGCTGTGGGGTTGGTGGGTTGGGGTTGGGTGGTTGTGGGTTGTGCTGGAAGGTGGGTTTGCGCTTGAGGGTTTGGGGTTGGTGGGTTGAGATGGTGAGTGGTGGGTTGGGCTTTTGGGTTTGGGGTTGGTGGGTTGGGGTTGGTTGGGCGTGGGTCGTGCGGGAAAGTTCGGAGTGGGTGGGTTGGGAATTGGTCAGGTTTGTGCCTTTGGGTTTGGAGTTGGTGGGTTGGGGTTGGTCGGTCGAGGTGTGTGCTGGCAGATATGGAATGGGTGGGTTGAGGTAGGTCAGTGGTGGTTTGTGCTTTGGTGTTGGTGGGTTGGGGTTGGTCGGTCGTGGTTTGTGCGTGAGGGTTTGGGGTTGGTGGGTTGAGGTTGGTCAGTGGTGGGTTGTGCTTTTGGGTTTGGAGGTGGTAGGTTGGGGTTGGTTGGTCGTGGTTTGTGAAGGACGGTTTAGGGTTGGTGGGTTGGGGTTGGGCAGTGGTGGTGTGTGCTTTTGGGGTTGGTGGGTTGGGGTTGGTTGGTCGTAGTTTGGGGTGGTGGGTTGAGATGGTGAATGGTGGGTTGTGCTTTTGGGTTTGGGGTTGGTGGGTTGAGGTTGGTTGGGCGTGGGTTGTGCTGGAAGGTTTGGGGTTGGTGGGTTGGGGTTGGGCAGTGGTGGTTTGTGCTTTTCGGTTTGGGGTTGGTGGGTTGGGGTTGGTTGGTCGTAGTTTGCGGTAGAGAGTTTAGTCAGTGGTGGTTTGTGCGTTAGGGTTTGGCATTAGTGGGTTGGGCTTGGGCAGAGTTGTTCGTGCATTTGGGTGTGGAGTAGGTAGGTAGGGGTTGGTCGGTCATGGTTGGTGCTGGAGGGTTTGGGGTTGGTGGGTTTGTTGGCCTAGCTTGTTGGCGGTTGGTGGGTTGCCGTTGGTCGGCGATGGTTGGTCTATTTCTTGCTCCGGGCTATGCGTGGAGGTGTGGAGTTGGTCTTGGAGCCACGTGGGCCCATGTTGGAGCGATGTTGGCCCATGTTGGAGCTATGTTGGCCCATCTTGCCGCTATGTGGGCCCATTTTGGGGCTATGTGGGCCCATCTTGGGGCGATGTGGGCCCAGTTTGGGGCTAGGTTGGCCCATCTTGGGGCTATGTTGGCCCATCTTAACGCCTATGTTGGCCCATCTCGAGGCCTATCTTGGCCCATGTTGACCCATCTTAAACCACAAGATCCGAAAAATGGGAAAAAGTGGGAAGAGCACAAAACACCGTAAAACGCGACAGTTTTTGGCGGGGGGGAGTGGTCGGCGGCTGGGGCGGCGGCCCCTCTCTCCTACGGAGAGGAGAGAAACGCCGTACTGCTATGCCACGGCCAGGGGGCCCCTGGCCGGATTTAAGCGCTTACGCGCGACAGCCGGCCAGGGGCCCAACTATGTTGACCTGCTTCTTCTTGTTGTTGTTGTTGTTGCGGTGGTTGTGGTTGTGGTTGTGGTCGCTGTTGTGGTTGTTGGTTGTTGATGGCTGGTTGGTTGTTGGTTGTTGGGCCCATTTTGTGCCCTCTTGGTCCGATGTTAGCCTATCTTTGGGCCCATGTTGCGCCCATCTTGGGGCTATGTTTGCTCATCTTGGGCCTATGTTAGCCCATCTTGGGCCCATGTTGCGCCCATCTTGGGGCAATGTTCGCCTATGTTGGGGCCATCGTGGGCCGATGTTGAGGCATCTTGGGGCTATGTTGGGGCATCTTGGGGCTATGTTGGGCGATCGTGCGCGATGTTAGTGCAAAAACATGTTGAATGTCACAGGGCCAAAAAAACACTGTAAATTACAGGGGTTTCTGTCGACACGCGGACCCCACCGCGAGGGCAGGGGCAGAGGCCCAACTATGTTGGCCTATGTTGGCCTATCTTGCGGGCAATGTGGGCTCAGCTTGGAGCTATGTTGACCCAGCTTGGGGCTATGTTGGCCTATCTTGAAGGCTATGTGGGCCGATCTTGAGGCCTTTGTCGGCCGATCTTGAGGCCTATGTTGGCCCATGTTGACCCGTGCGGAGCCAAAAGATCCGAAAAATGGGAACAGCAAAAAAACACTGTAAAACGCAGGATATTTTGAGGGTCGGCGGCCTATCTTGGGGCTATGTTGGCCCATCTTGGGGGCTATGTTGGCCCATCTTGGGGCTAACACTGTAAAACGCAGGATATTTTGAGGGTCGGCGGCCTATCTTGGGGCTATGTTGGCCCATCTTGGGGGCTATGTTGGCCCATCTTGGGGCTATGTTGGCCCATCTTGGAGCTATGTTGGCCCATCTTGGGGCTATGTTGGCCCATCTTGGGGCTATGTTGGCCCATCTTGAGGCCTATGTTGGCCCATCTTGAGGCCTATGTTGGCCCATGTTGACCCATCTTAAACCACAAGATCCGAAAAATTGGAAAAAGTGGGAAGAGCACAAAACACCGTAAAACGCGGGGGTTTTTGGCCGGACCGGGTGGTCGGCGGCTGGGGCGGCGGCCCCTCTCT